AGTCGTAATCTGAATCATACAGGCAACATTTGTTATTACTGAAGTCTACAAGAACTACGTTACCCTCAGGAAGAAAGGTGGCTCCGGTGTAGCGAGGTTTCATCCCGTCCACCGGGTAATGTGATTCAAATGTGGTCATTAATTCTATGTCGTAAATACCATCATTTGATTTCTTTGTTTCTGGTACCTTTTGTTTTCCTTTATCTTTATGGGTATCGATTTTTCTAGACGATAACACGTTGGAAGATGGTTTAGTCCTTGTATCTACGTCTCTAACCTCCAACTCTGCCATCTGATGCTGACTTAGGAGCATGAAATCGTGAAAAATTTGATGAAACTTTAGCTTGATATTAACAGCTTTAGTTCTCATGTAATTATCCAAAACCTCCTCTTTGATCCGGTCCAGTTTCTTTGTTATAGCCTGCTGGGTCAGGTAGGTTTGTATATCAGTTCCGTGGTTGCAAGCAGTTTCCAGAATCAGTGCTGAAAGGCGAATAGACGCAGCCAATGATTTACATCTTTGAGTACCTTCCTGAATTTTATTTGACGCCTCTTGAAGAATCTTTTCGCTTTCGTCCACTATTTTTTGCTCTAAAACATTTAGTATTTCATTGATTTTAGCACGTATGTTATGAATCTCGTCTGGTAAAATCCTTCACAGTCTTTTGAAGCAAATTTAATTGTTTATCATTTTCCATCTCCAACTGACTCTCCAATTCTCGTAGATTTAAAAGAATCTCGCGAGGTGGTGCATGTTTCAACTTCTCTTGCGCATAAGATGATAACTGCAAGCAATCTGAACAATGCTGATGCATCTTTTCAAAGCAAATGGAACAGCGCGAGCAGTTGCGATCCTTGCAAAATTGATCCAAATGTTTTTCAGGATGATTTGCACAATTTAGCACTTGCTTGAGACTGCTCGCTAGTTTAATATATGGGTCATTTTTCTGAATAATCCGGTCATCGGCTAGAGCTTTTAAGCTCATGTGGAACTTTACACATCCGTCACAGGAGTACTCTTTGCACATAACACAAAAGCTAGTAGCCAGAGTTGAACTTCCATTTTCCATATTGCATCTGTTACAGTATTCTCCTCCTTTCGCCTCATCCCTGGAGCCTAGCGCCTCAATGATGGCGTTTAATGGAAAGATAACTGGCCAGCTTTTGTTAAGTTCTCCTTGGCTTGGTGGCACAGTCGATTTTCTACAAGTAGGACATGCAAAACCACTGTGTATTCGCGAGTTTGGGATATCAGCAGAGAGACATTCCTCGCAAAACGTGTCCAGACATGGAAGAATACGAGGCATTTTAAAGTCTTTCAGACACAATGGGCAATACCATTCTTTTGACTTGTCTACAAATACTTCCACTTTTGCGTTTGGTTTGGCAAGTGAATTCCCTTTTCCATCCATGCTGTCTACTTTGGCACCACTGTTTTGAAACTTAGCAGTGTCTGTCATGGCCCTTAAATGTAAATTAAATTATTAACTTAAAATTAAATTATTCGATAGAAATATGACCATTAGCACGCTTATTTCAGTCGTACGTTTCGACTTGCCAGCACTTATTTCAAATGATGCAGTAGTAAAAGATATTTAAAGATCAAATTAAAGTAAATTTACCTAACCCTCCTCACAATAGGTTTTACAATGACTGATTATCTTGTACGATACAAGTTTAGGATCGCTTTCCTCAATTCCACTGATATGCTCAAATGTCATTTCGCTGTCACAAGCGTCAGTCTATGGTGAAACGTTGCCATTAGTTTTCTTTTGTTTCCATTTATAATGTTCACTACTACACTTTAAGAAATTTGTACATTCCTATAAAGCATGCTATAATAACTTCACAAATGAAATTTAGCATGGAGATTTCTTGGAACACTTATATGTTTGAATAGTATTCTGCATGATGTTAGTTGGGATATTCCCTTTTTGAGTTATATGATATTTTGAAGTTAAATAACAACGTAGCCGCTCAACTAGAAATTCGATCAATTTGCGACGGGAAAAATTAATTGCTTATAGCGAGGTCAAAGTTCAAATGTTTTGAATGACACGTTTCCAGGAGCTGCAGATTACCTGAATATAGTGTTGCAAAGATAAGAGCGCGGTGCTTTGTGTAGCGCCAGATCTTTACATATAGTCATGTTAAATGTGATACGTAAACAAAAGACCAATGCAGTAATACAAGAATAACTAAAAGTTTGTTTTCTTACACTGAATCCTTTAATATGATGTACAGTCTGTCTTTTGTATGTGTGCGATTTTAAAAATGTGGAGGTCATCCTTATTTGTGTAAGGGAGAGACAAAATATCTGTATATGCAATCGTTTTGAACATGTTAAGATTGTAAACGAGTTTATGAAAATACTTCAAGCTTGCAAAAAAAAAAAAAACAAAAACAAAAAAAACAGTTCACACTCTGTTTCATCTACCTGAATACGACTGTTCCTTTACTATAGGAATTCAAGAAGTTTTAGTGAACCACATTGAAATTCATGAATGTTGCATGAAATTTAACAATACATTCTCTTTGGTAACGACTATCACATAAGCGTTACCCTTGCTGGGCTAGAACATAATAATGCTACTGTATATGATACAATCATTTAGCTTGATGTAGTTATGTTACCTTAAGTATTGTAATAGCTTAAATTAGTCGTGTTACCTGAACTATTGTGACAGCCTGAAGTAGTCGTGTTACATGGACTGATGTGACCGCCTGAAGTAGTCGTGTTACCTGAACTATTGTGACAGCCTGAAGTAGTCGTGTTACATTGACTGTTGTGATAGCTTGATTTAGTCGTGTTACCGGGAGTAATGCGATAGCTACGCTCATTGTAAAATAAAATCATCACACCAAGTGCAGCAATTGCACATTGACAAGTATTTTGCTTTTAAAATCAAATAAAATTCAAATGTTTTGCTAATACGTTTGAACAGACCTATAACTTTCTTTCTTAGTCATAAATGCTTGCAAGAAACATTGAAGAAAACTTATTTCTGTTTACTCCGTTAGATTTAGAATAAAAACAATGAATATTTATATGCACTATGTCTAAATATTGTTTTGCTTGCTTTTATAAATAATTTGTATTTTTTTGTCTCTTTTATGTTGAACACCAATACTAATAAACAATAAATGCCACTTATGCGACTTATATATATTTTATATCTTTTAACCCTACTTAGAAGGGTGCTGAGCAACAACATTTGTAACTGTTTCCATATTAAGACATTATCACTTCGACGTCGTATGCAATAATATATCTATCTATTTATCCATCCATGCATCGATCTATCTATCCATCCATGCATCCATCCATGCATGCATCCATCCATGCATCCATCCATCCATCCATCCATCCATCCATCCATCCATCCATCCATCCATCCATCCATCCATCCATCCATCCATCCATCCATCCATCCATCCATCCATCCATCCATCCATCCATCCATCCATCCATCCATCCATCCATCCATCCATCCATCCATCCATCCATCATCCATCCATCTATCTATCTATCTATCTATCTATCTATCTATCTATCTATCTATCTATCTATCTATCTATCTATCTATCTATCTATCTGTCTGTCTGTCTCAGCAATTGCAAGAAAAAAAAATTCCTTAGTGCCAATTCCAAAAGTTAAGTAATCACTTTGACTGGCAACATATCCAGATTGATTGGTTACTTGCTGGAACATACATGTTTTTATATTAGATAAGATTTTTATCGTCGATACATTGAAAGATTATATTTTTTTCATGGTAGGGGTTACATTGTTGGACAATTAATGTGATAAAATACAGCATAAGGATGAAATTACTGCAATTCGTCTGTGTTAATCTTCCTTTTGTTTTGTAGTAGCATAAGTAATGGACTTTAGCTTTATGTGATTGTTATTAACCCTTAAATATACAATTAATCATGAAAATCCACTCTAAAACTAAAACAGTGTCTACGTTTTCCTTCTTGCATTTATTTAGCACTTATGACTTCGTTATATTTTTCACAACTTTTAGATGTTTGTGTTTCACTACTAAGCATCACTTTTTATCTTTATATTCCTGTGTTTCTTTACAGATCATCGATTTTTCACTTTTTATTCTCTTTTTATCAGTGCGTTTCAGTACACATTGTCCTCATTATATCCCGGTGTTTCACTACACATTTATCAAATCCTCAGTTTTTGTCATATTTACATTTTATCTCTCTCTCTTGTACTACTGATGATCAAATCTTCACTTTTTGCCCTCTTTATATTCATGTGTTTTACTACAAATCACTAATTCCTCACTTTTGTCCTCTTTATATTCATGTGTTTTACTAAAATCACTAATTCCTCACATTTTGTCCTCCTTCTATTCCTGTGTTTTACTAGAAATCACAAATTCCTCACTTTTTGTCATATCTATATTCCTGTGTTTTACTACAAATCACCAATTCCTCACTTTTTGTTATATTGATATTCCTGTTTCGTTACAAATCATCACGTCCTCACTTTATATGTATCATATTATATTATTTACATGCATCATATTGTATTATTCACATGTATCTTATTGTATTATTTACATGCATCATATTTAAATATTCATATGTATCTTATTGTATTATTTACATGTATCATATTGTAATATGAATTTGCATATTATTATAATATTTACATGCATCGTATTGTAATATTTATATGTATCATATATTATTTACATGCATTGTATTTACGGATCACTGCCATCTCAACTCTGTCTGCGTGGGTTCGACTCTATTATTCGGCGAATGTGGATATGTGAGAAAGCTTGCCAGTAGCTTCTGGTTGTTCGGAGGTTCTTTTCGCGGATTTCCCGGTTTCTTCCTCTACCATTAATACTGGCCGCCATGTATCGTGTGCTGAAAAATGGCATTAAGCCCCAGAACAACAACATGCATCATATTGTAGTATGTATGTGTAACCTATTATATTATTTACATGCCTCATATTGTAATATGACCGCTCTGGTGGCCTAGTGGTTAGAGTGCCCGCATCAGATGTGGATGGTCGTGGGTTCGAACCCCGGCCGAGTGATACCAAACACATAAAAATGGTACTAGAATCTGCCTCGCTTGGCGCTCAGCATTAAGATGTTAGTGTTTGGACTGGTCAATCTGGTGTCAGGATAATGTAACAGGCTGGGACATGTGGCTACATACATGCGACATGATGCGCTAGTACTAGACATCACTGTAATCTGCAAAACTTCAGCTTTAGTAGCGACATAACTGAAATTTTTTTTAACTAAGTAAAAAAAAAACAAATCTCCAAATTACACACACACACACACACACACACACACACACACACACACACACACACACTCACACATTGCAATATAGGATATTTATACGGGATACGCTTCCACATATCTATTACAGACTGATAGGTAATCCAGTTCACAGATTCTAATTATCCAAATATATGCAGACCATGAAGTTCAAACTTGAGATCGTTGTACACTGAGTATGAATGCCATATATCACAATCTTTTGTACACTGAATATGAATGCCATATATCTCGATCTATTGAACACTGAATATGAATGCCATATGTCACGATCTTTTGTACACTGAATATGAATGCCATATGTCACGCTCTATCAGTGAGTATGAATGTCGGAGGTCACGATCGTTTGTACACTGAATATAAAAGTCATGTGTCAAGATCTTTTGTACACTGAATATGAATGTCATGTCACGATTTTTTGTACACTGAATATGAATGCCATATGTACATTGAGATCGTTGGTACACTGAATATGAAAGCCATGTGTCACGATCTTTTGTATACTGAATATGAATGTCATATGTCACGATCTTTTGTACACTGAATTTGAATGCCATATGTCAGGATCTTTTGTACACTGACTATGAATGTCGTATGTCACGATCTTTTGTACACTGAGTATGAATGTCGTATGTCACGATCTTTTGTACACTGAGTATGAATGTCCTATATCACGATCTTTTGTACGCTGAGTATGAATGTCTTATGTCAAGACTTCGTGTACACGGAGTATGAATAACACCTGTCAAGATCTCGTATTCACTGAATATGAATTCAATCTGCCAAGATTTCATATTCACTAAGTACAAATGCCATCTGTCAAGATCTTTGTTCACTGAGTATGAATGCCATCTGTCATTGAGCAGAAATTACAACAGCCATGACTTTTGTATAGGACCCTTTTTCAAATGTAATTGGGAAATTCAACCCTACTCATGTTTACTCTAAAGTAAATATCCTTTGAACTTAATTCAAGACAAATTTTAGTGAACATATTTCCGCATGTAAGAATAAACAAATGATGTGATCGGTCATATCAAATCTATTGTTGATTACCTACTGTATCTGTCAAGATGACATATGTTTGCGATTGCCTTACTGGGATTGACAGTGAATGATTTTAATTCCCACCACCAATAAGATAACGCCAAAATCGTCTTTGGAAGAACAATAAACCCATGTCGTAACGGTCACATTAACACAAGAACATCTCTTCGCACAGGACAACTTAAATAAACGCTACTTTATATCCGACTTTTATGGGGAGGACATGGAGTATATGAACTGCAAAAAAGGCGGGGTTGAGGATTGCATGGGTAGACTGCTGGAATGGTAGATACACGTGTGGACGGTGGATAGACAAACAGTGAATTCACTAGGGTTGGTGTCACCCAGTGCGGTAACTCATGGTGTCACCCCAACGGACCCCCTTCCTGCACAAAAAGACAAAAATTTTGTAGTCATTTTGGTGTCAGATGGTGGCAACTTAGTGACGCCACTGTGGATACGATAATGTAAGCAGTAGATTTTAATGTATGGTACATGGAAGGATGGATGGAAGGTCGGATGGAAGGATACATATATTGATGGAATGCATGATGGATGGATGGATGGATAGATCGAAGGAATGGTATATACGTGTATGGATGATGTACAGATGAGAGAGATATGGATCAATGAAATGGGTTGGAAGGTATATATAGATATTAGATGGTGGTTATGGGATGGATGGTTGAATAAATTGATTGAGATATATGAATGGATGGTGGGTGGGATAGCGGAGAAATAGATAAATGGATGAATGGTTCGATGGATGAAATGATCGTTGGATAGAATAGAGGAAAATTGCATATATGGGTTGATGGATGAATGATCGGGTGTATTTGTGAATAGGATAATACGATAACTAATAGATGGATGGATATTGGCTGGCTGGGTAGGGGAAGGGTGTGTGTATGTGTGTGTGTGTGAATTGGATTTTTAACGATGTCTCCAGTGTGACTATTTGTAGGGATTTCTAGCATTGGGGAATCATGTAGCAAACATGTAGCATTATTTTGACACCAATCAGAGCAGTCCTAACACTAATCTCTTAATGCTGAACGCCAAACGAGGAAGCTACTAGTGCCACTTTTGTAACTCTTTGGTATGACTCGGCCGGGGGTTCCAACCCGAGACCTCCCGCATCCGAGGCGGACGCTCTAACCATTAGGCTACCAGAGCGGTCGGGGATGGGATGTACGTGGACGGATAGTTGGATTAGATGAAATGAATTGATGGGTCGAAGAGATGATATATAATGGATGGATTCAAGAATGAATGGTTTTGTAGATTTAGTGCTGGAATGGATGAATTGATGTGTATATAGATAAATGGCGAATAATTATATGGTTGGATGAATGTGTTACGGAATGGTCGGATGGATTAGACAGTGTTATGAAGGATAGATTGAGAGGCGATGAGACGAATGATATATAGCTGGAAAGATAAAGCATTTACTGATAAGACAAAGAAAGGAGGGATGGATGAAGCAATTTAAGAACGGATCAGATCAAAGACTGCAAGCACAGTATGGTTTCATATGTTTATTACATAATTCTTATGCTGGCTTACATATTATGCATCATTTTGGAATGTTTCTAGATTTATCTGATCAACAAGCTAACATAGAAAATCATCGCATTATATTGCGCTTGCTTCATACAATACACAATTTGCGGAAATTAAGCTTCAAATGAAAAATCAGTGTTTTTAATTTAAACGTTTCCTTTTTTAAGAGTAGTTTATTCATCACCAAGAAAGTTTTAAAGAAATCAGATGTTTCTGGAATAGATTATAGTTCTATCTATTTTCTATCCCGACTATTGGAGCAAGAAGGAATGTACATTCTGTTTTGAATGATGTTTTGAATGATGGAAAACCTGAAAGACAATGGCAAATATATGTCCCGGAAACAGTAGCATTAAAGTTCTCAGTTACCATTTTCATTTCAATATGGAATATTCAAGCCGTCAGATATTATTGTCTTGAAAAATTTAATAGACATCTACATTTATTTTTTTATCCAAAAAATCGTCGATGCATGTATTCCAGTTCAGTATTTTATTTACTGCGTTTGATGCTTTAATTTAAACACAGTGCAATGTTCACTAAAGAATCTGCCGTGGGTGATGAGTAACATTTGTTTGGTTTCTGTGAAACATATATGTCGGGGATTTTGTGGGATCCCCGAGGAAAAAACCTTAATACAAAGCCCCTCAGGGGATATCTGATGAAGGTTATTTGATTCATATCCTAAAACGTATATATTTCCGTATTGGTCAGCTGCAAGCCCTTGCGGGTGCTTTAGGTTCTTATCCGTGTATCGGTACACCAGTTGTCCATCCAATGTAAAGCTGAATACGGCTTCTAGAGCTGCGCACGAGACATATACGCAGGTCTTGGCTCCATTCACGGTCACATGGCTGATATTACTGCCGCTCACAGTTTCTTCAATTTCTTGATAGTGGCGCTCTTTCCCGCCTGTTGTAATGATGGCCCAGAAGTGTCGCTTTGTGTTTCGATTATGTCCTGACACAACTAGCCGTTCTGAGTTAAGTGTGGTTAATCCAAAACATCTGTGACGTGTTGTGACCGTTTTAACACTCCTAATTCCTTTATCTATCACTAGGATTTCTATTTCCTTGGACATTGGAATGGTCACGGCTACCTTCTTTCCTTCGAGATGGCAAACATGCCGCGGATTTTTGTGAAGGTTAAAATCATCAACAAAGTCGTAATGTGAATCATACAGGCAGCATTTGTTATTGTTAAAATCCACCAGAAGTATATTTCCCTCAGGAAGAAAGGTGGCTCCGGTGTACCGAGGCTTTACCCCGTCCGCAGGGTAAAGCGTTTCAATTGTATTCAGGAATTCTACTTCATTGATAACGTGTGTTTTTAACTTGGTTTCTGATGCCTTTTCTTCTCTTTTATTGTTTTCGTTTTTTCTTGGAGATAACGTTTTAGAATATGAAGGAATAGGTTTAGTCACGTCCTTGACATCCAATTCCAGCATCTTTCGTTCATTTAGAAGCAGCAAATCGTGAAAGATTTGATGAAACTTTAGCGCGATATCAACAGTTTTAGTTTTCATGTAATTATTCAAAACTTCCTCTTTCATTCGGTCCAGTTTGTGTGCAATAGTTTGCTGAGTCAGGTAGTTCTGTATATCCGTTCCATGTTTGGAAGCAGTCTCCAGAACCAGAGTAGATAGTTGTATAGATGCAACCAATGATTTACATCGTTGATTATTTTCCTGGAATTTATTTGATTCCTCCTGAAAAATCTTGTCACCTTGAGCAACTATCCTTTTCTCTAAAACATCAAGTATTTCATTTATTTTAACACGCATTTTACGAATCTCATCTGGCAAATCTTTCACTTTTTCTTGAAGTAAATGTATTTGTTTCTCATTTGTGTCTATAAACCTAAGTAGTTGACTCTCAACTTCATGTAGAGAAGAAAGAATTTCTCGAGATGATGTAATTTGTAACTTCTCTTGCGCGTACGATAATAACTTCAATGCGTTCGGACAACCTCTATGTAACATTTCTGTGCAGATGGCACAGCATGCGCAATTATGATCCCTACAAAAGTGATCTAGATCTTTTTCGGGATGCTTTGCACAATTTAGAACATGCCTGAGGCTACTCATCAGCTTTATAGATGGGTCATTTTTCTGAATAATCCTGTGATTATTTAGCGCCTTGAAACTCTTGTGGGACTTTACACATCCATCGCAGAAATGCTCTTTGCATACAACACAAAAGCTAGTAGCCAGAGTTGAATTGTCATTTTCCGCCTTGCATCTATCACAGTAATCTTCTGATTTGGTCTCATCTGCGGAAGACAGGGGTATGGCGATTGCGTTTAGTGGAAATATGGATGTCCAGCTCTTATATGATTCACCTTTATTCGGTGGCGCAATTGATGCTTTGCAAGTAGGACATGCAAAACCGTTGTGTATTCGCGTACTGTGAATATACGCAGACAGACATTCCTCGCAAAACGTATCCACACATGGAAGAATACGCGGCGTTTTATAATTCTTCAGGCACAATGGGCAGATCAGTTCTTTAGGTTCGTTCACAACTTGTTCCTCTTTTGAATTTGATATGGAATTTGCATTCCCTTTTCCATCCATAATCGGCCAGTTTTTCAACACTCAAACTTCTGTATGTTTTAAGTGTCTGCTGTGGCTTAATGTATAAATACACTTTAGACTGCAATATGAATAATAACACACATTATTTCAGTCCTAGTGTCCTTTGAAGTCCCGAATGATTTTGTATGATAGAACGTTGTCATTAGCCTTACTTTGTGGCGCCTGTGTACCTCGTTATACAACAATTGTACTTCCGTATCTGTCAATACTACCGCGGCAGTTTAATATAGCATGTGAGTGTTTTGGTATATAGATCTACATTGTTGAATCAAGTTTGCATGAAACTTTCTGTAGAAACCTTTTGCAAGATTGCATAAAACAATTCCCTTGGCTATGGAGCAGTGAAAATTAGACAACAACGGACTCAACTTGAAATATAATCTAGTAGTGAAAGATAATATAAAAAGTTCATACCAGGGCGTAAGGTAGCAAGTTTTGAATGACTTGTATACCAAAACTAAAGGTGATAAGTTTTGAATGACATATATCTAAGAGCTATCTGTTACCACAGTATAATGTTGGCAAGTCAAGAGAGTCTCTCTTTGTATATCTCAAAGAGTGAAACGGGTTATGCTTAACGAGTTACAAAAGAAAACAATGCTGAAGTTCAATAAGTAAATGAATGCTTGCAAGCATTCTGTCGCTGTCTTCTGTGAATATGTGTCTTTATAATAATGTGAACCGCTCTGGTGGCCTAGTGGTTAGAGCGTCCGCCTCGGATGCGGGAGGTTGTGGGTTCGAACCCCTACCGATTCATACCAAAGACTTTAAAAATGATACTAAGAGCTGCCTTGTTTGGCGTTCGGGATTAAGATGGTAGTGTTATGACTGGTTTGCCTGGTGGTAGGATATTGTGACTGGATGGGACATCATGCCAAATGTCTGCGACATGATGCCCCAGTGCTAGACATCACTATAAACTGTCACACTGCAGACATCGTAGCTATATGACTGAAAAAAAAAATGTTAAACGTTTAAAAACTAAATCACACACTCACACATAATAATGTGCAGTTCCTACCACTTTGTTCATGAAAGAGACAATAATCGCTGAAAATGACTATATGGGTTTTAAGGTTCACAGCGGTTTCTCAATGAAAATAATTGTCCCCATGATACGGTGGGTGAAATAAATAAACATGGCTTTAAGATCGGTGTTGAAGCGGAATAAATAATATAGATATCATGAGAAGAAATGTATTGGTTTGGTACGTACATTCAAACCATGCTTTTATTTATCTGAACATATGAAGATGGCAACTGGATGTTTGTGATGTTCTAAAGTCTATAATTAGTCCAATTAGACCGAAAAACGTGCTGTTTACAACTAGACTAATACACGTGCTGCTTACAAATTAGACAAATCAGTCCAATACACGTGCTGTTTACAATTGGACCAATTACACCAGTACAAATGCTGTTTACAATTAGAACAAACACTTGCTGTTTGCAATTAGAGCAAAATACGCGCTGTTTACAATTAGGCCAATACACGTGCTTTTTACAATTAGACCATTACACGTGCTGTTTAAAATTAGAACAATAGTTGTGCTGTTTGCAAATAGAGCAATACATGGTCTGTTTGCAATTGGACTAATACACGTCTTGGTTACAAGTAGACAAATCAGACCAATACACTGTTTACATTTAGACCAGTACACGTGCTGTTTTCAATTAGACTGATATGCGTGCTGTTTACAAATAGACCAATCAGAACAAAACGCGTGCTGTTTACAATTAGACTAATACACGTGCTGTTTACAAATAGACCAATTAGACCAATGCACGTGTTGTTTTCAATTCGAGTAATATACTTGTTGTTTGCAATTAGAGTAATATACATCCTGTCTACAATTAGATAAATACAAGTGCAGTAATATACGCGCTGTTTACAACGGAACCAATTCACGTACTATTTACAATTAGACTAGTACACGAGCTGTTTACACCAATCAGACCAATACATGTGCCAATTAGACCAATACACGTACTGTTTACAATTAGGCCAATACATATTCTGTTTACAATTAGACCAATACACGTCCTGTTTACAAATAGGCCAATACATATGCTGTTTACAATTAGACCAATACATATGCCAATTATACCAATACACGTGTTGTTTACAATTAGACTAATACACTTGCTGTTTACAATTAGACCAATACTAATGCTGTTTACAATTAGAGAAATTAGACCAGTACACACAATTATTTTATATCTATTCTTTTGAATACAAATTTCTCCACAGTAAAAAGATTTGTATGATTACTGGTGAATTACTTTTGAAGTAGTAAGTGTTGCAAGGCTTAGTGTAATAAACTTGCTGTTGTAATGATATTGCATTGAGATATGTTATTGCTACGTTAAATGCTGTAATACTACTTTGTAGACTTGTACCACTGCTAATAAATCATTACAATATGTGTAGCAACAGCACAGTCAATATTATTTTGTAACATTAATCTGTTTCACAAATAATTATAAGACATAGGTACGTTTCATTATGCTAATATAAACATATCAATAGCTGACAATTTTTGCAGATCATTATCGTTTAACTGCAAAATACGGATAAAATCGAATCCATTATACTCCATAGACAAAAATTAGCCAACATTAGCTCAAGAGTTATCACTTGATTAGGCAATTATAGAACAGAGATTGTAAAATGGCCTTACGTGCAAACATGTATCGAAACGAATCTTTTGTGATTGTTCCCTTAATAATTGTGAACAAATAATTAGGTAATATACAAAATACATTATTATCACGTCACACACCGTATAGAATGATGATGATGATGATGATGATGATGATGATGATGATGATGATGATGATGATGATGATGATGATGATGATGAAAACGACAGCGACGATGATGATCATATCTTCATTTTACTAAAGACCTTTAAGTAAATATTATTCGTTCAAAATGTAAATACAAATAATTAATGTAGATGCAACAATCAGATCTCAGGTACCGTGGACGTACGTTTAGTGCAAAAACGTTTGTCAGCTAAATCTTTTTAGTTTAGGATGAAATTCAGACATCACAAATTTCTCAGATCCCGGGCAAAACTTTAAGTAAGTTGTATTTTTTTTTTTTTTTTTTTTTTTTTTTTTACTGTATCCTGACAACCAGCCTTTCAGTATACAGTGGCTATTTTCTGCTACTGACATGCTTTTACGTTTCATGCATTAAACCGTTATTAGCTTTTCCTTGCACGGAGCTCTAATATTATAAAGAAGAAACAGAACTGGTACATATTTTCTGGGTTATCGTTATCGCAATAGCACATTGGATATTCCAAACTATTTGTGTCTTCCTGTATGAATACACCACCACCCATTCATCCCCTGCATCAATAGACATATTAAGTGATTGTTTGAAAGATGGAGGTAAAACCAAAGCCTCCTGGCCAATAAAACGAAGTCTTCTTACTTAACTAGTAAGGTACTCAGCAATTATAGAAAACGTTTGGCAAAATTTTCCGATAATATCCAACCATGCCTAAATATTGCATAAGTTGCATTTTACTGATAGGAAAAGGGATTTCAAAGATAGCTTCACTGTAACTTCCCCAGTCTTAACTTGGCCATGTCCAACAATGTCCTAAAATATGACACAACCTCGGCAAAACTCACTTTCATTTAAATAAATTGTCAAATCTGTTTCACTTAAACGAACGAAGAATTTTGGGATAATTTCTAGGTGATCATTGCAGGAATCGCTGTAAGTAATCATGTTGTCGATGTATGTATGTATGTATGTATGTATGTATGTATGTATGTATGTATGTATGTATGTATGTATGTATGTATGTATGTATGTATGTATGTATGTATGTATGTAGGTATGTATGTAGGTAGGTAGGTAGGTAGGTAGGTAGGTAGGTAGGTAGGTAGGTAGGTATGTATGTATGTATGTATGTATGTATGTATGTATGTATGTATGTATGTATGTATGTATGTATGTATGTATGCATGCATGCATGCATGCATGCATGCATTCTAGCTGACCATTTTCTATCGAAATAATATACACGCTTTGAGTCCAAGAAATAAAACATCATCAATAATGTTAGTATTGTTCTTTATGAAGCGAAGAAGTATGTACCTCCAGTTATAATTTTAATAGAAATTATATTTTTGTTCTTCAATACCAATAGATATGTTGCTTTCTTCAATATCATTAAATATACTGAATTCTTCAATATATATTGGGTGATATTTTCCCATCGCCCTATAAATTATTGTCTGGTTACATAAAATTGCTACATCACTCATGGAACTATTTATTCAAAGCACACGCATGTGGCAGAGCGCTCGTTTTCGCAGACCACTGACATGTCACTTCTGACCGCTTGAGTTCTATAGTCCGAAATACATCCCCGTTGGTTTGTACCCCCAACCCTACCGGTTTAAATATCGGAAATATTTAGGTTGATAAACAGTGCAAGTAACATAGTCAATTCAATCAATGATTTATTTTTTCTAACCTGAATATGAGAAGAATTTCTATAACACCGTTATTGCCTGCACGTTTCATGCTGAACTGAAGTTTTCAATGTAATAGACTGACATGCTTAAAAACCATTTCCAGTTTCTGGACCAGTGTCCTGTCTGTCTGTCTGTCTGTCTGTCTGTCTGTCTGTCTGTCTGTCTGTCTGTCTGTCTGTCTGTCTGTCTGTCTGTCTGTATGTATGTATGTATGTATGTATGTATGTATGTATGTAGATAAATGGATTGATGGATGGGTTATGACAAAAATGGATTGACAAATCAATGGATGGCTGAATCACACGAATTGCACATTTGGAGAGATCATGTATTGATGGATAGTTTGCTGGACAAAATGATAGGTGGACGAAAAGATAAGTGAGGGATGGGATGAAAGATGGATACCCGGGAAGTTAAATGGATGCATTGATTAGTATGATGATGGTAATACATAAATAATTGATAGGAACGATAAATACTCGCACACATGAACGATTGATAGGAATATATATATATATATATATATATATATATATATATATATATATATATATATATATATATATATATATATATATATATATATATATATGATTGACAACAATGATATATATTTAACAAGATGGATAGTCTTTATTTAAAAAATAAAATGATTATCATGGACGAATGAATGACAGGGTGAACAAAAGTGTCCAGGTACGGTGGGTTAGATTCATTGACTATCTGATATCAGCTATAAAAAAATCACACACAATAAGCATATTCAAGATTATTATAATTTCAAATGCTACGTGAAGCACACGTAAGCCTGTGTACATATCGTGCGTTATTTTGCAATGTAAACGTTTTAATCCATAATCAGATTAATAAAAATATAATTCATAACAATTCAAGTTTATTTAGTAAATGACCAATTGCGTAAATTATTCTTAAGATGATATATTTATTTTTTCATTTCACATCACCCGTTATCTGTTATTTTCCAAAATAAATAGATAAGTAAATAAATAAATATATAACAAAAATTAAACAGTATTTGCTATTTGCGGGCTTAGAATCAAGTTCAGCCTATTAACTGTACAAGATGCGTGCATATACTTATTAGACAGTACATTAGCAAAGCCACATTGACTAATCCGTGTTGAACGCAAGCGACTGTTTAATTATTATTTCTCAATGATTATTTTCAGTTCAACATGGAATGTCCCATTGAGGAGATATAATTCCCTTCAACCATTCTAGATTTAATAGATG